GCGGGGACTCACCTTCGGAGAGGTCGCACTCGAAGGTGATTTCGAACTCCCAGCCGAGGCCTTTGCAAAGTTCTTCTTTCCTACCCCGAGAGCGCTCCACACTGTTTTTCAGCTTTGGGGGCCACGCGGCGCAGGGCAATACGCCACGCCCAGTGATTTTTTTTCAGGGGCGGGCTGGATTGGATAGACAACGGGCTGGATGTGGCCCGCGGGCCGTAGTTTGCCCACCCCTGTATTAATTCCTCAGAAAGTTCATATTGTAAAGCATGTTGTAAATGTGAGTTAGAGCGTGAAGTGGATCATATCAAAGAAAAGTCAGTCAATATTTGTGGATATAAATGCTAGGCTTTATGACTGGCTAAGGAGACTGGGAAAAAAAATCTAGTTTTACACTCTTCTTTTATAAGCATTATAAGCTCTACATTTTCTAAAGTCAAGTCAATGATCTGGCTGGCATCTTCCTTTCTCTCTTTCCATGTAGGGATCTATTCTATGTTGAATAATTCTAAAGATTATTATTACTTATTACTTATTATTATTTACTTATTACTTATTCTTCTGTTCCTTGCCATACTTCCATTGATACTCTATCAATTATATGGGCTTCAATTTGGTAATGACTAGTTCTAGTTGATCTAAATTCATCTTCTAGCACTAGGTTCTTGTAAGTAAGGAATATATTTCAAAGTATCTTGATATTGACACCCTTTACTATATAAAATTTCAGTATGTGCTTTCTTTGATCATTGAATCAGTTGCTATCTGTCAATTGCTTTAAATTAATAACTGTCCATCTCCTTTAGCGTAGCAATTGAAGGCTGAAACTTCCCTCTGAGTTCTGAAATCTTTTGGAATAGTTTCCTTGTTTTTCCATGTCTGTTTTCCTCGTTGATGTCTGTATGGATGTTGTGTAACATCTTGTCTCTTCTAACAGCTTCTGAAATTCTTTCCTGAGATGCTATTTGCAACTTCACATTTTCTTTTCCTGCACGGCAATATCAGCTACTAGATGTCCCAAATGCTTTAATCTAGCCATGTTGTAAACACCATTAGTACTGAGGGATTCACAGCTCTTTCTATGTAGCATATTGAGAACTGTCTGGCCTAAGGGATCCATTATCCAGCACTATATCATCAGTCATTTTATATTTTCTATCCATTTGGTTTTCTTGGTGAGACTACTACTGCCTTCTGTGTAGTATGAATGGATACCTTTGCCATTGCCAGTGATTATCTGCCTCCAGCATCGTCCTGTATTGCTTGTCCCCAATAGAGGTGCCTGGTTGCTTTAGTTACATACTGGGTATGCAAGTAGTTCTTGACTTATAACCATAATGGAACCTACCCATTATGGTTGTAAATCCTGACAGTTGTAAAGTGGTTCATCATGAGATTGGACCCAGTTTTATAATCTCTTTTGTAGTAATCATTAAGTGAACATCAGCCTTGTAAAGAAAATGCAGTGGTTGTTAAGCAAACTCATTGTTTTTAAGCCAAACACCATAAATGCGGGTCAGGTGTCGAGTGCCCAAAATGTGGTCACATGACCGCAAAAGGTATAATTGTTGGAACTTCAAAACCAGGTCTTCACTATCTTTTAGGGAAGGGGTCTTTTGTAACTTCAGTGGTCGCCAAGTGATCTGTCGTAAGTGGAGGGTTATCGGTACACGTAGCGTAAGTTCTCAACATTATTTGCTCATCCTTCTTGGAAATCATGATGTGGAAACATAGTAGGAGTTTCAGGAGAACAATGGAGATTGTGTTTAAATTTCTAGTCTGCTTGAAGAAGAGCAGGCAGACCTGGGGGAGGGGGGGAGGAGTTAAATGGATCATCACAAATCATTTAGATTTGTGCATTCTCACAAGCGCTCTTAAGTCCAACCTTTCCTGAGTTTCATTGAGCCTTATCTGGCGCTAATTTAGGATTGAACTTTAGTTGACCAGGTTCTTATGAATAGGCGTGAATAAATCTTCTATGCTGCAACCTTCTGTGATCTCTTGATTCTTTGTGCCTGATGGTATTTCAGTATAACATAACTCACACAATTTGGTAACTGACTGAAAAAAATAACAGTGTAGAAGAATAACTTTAAAATATATAATAAACATTAGAGGTCACTCATTTTTTTATTTAATTATTTGATGATTTAAAATAGAAGAATTGGTTACAAAAATAATTGACACATGTGGAATCCAAGTCCTACTGGAACATTCCTCTGGGCCTTGAATGAAAATATTGATAGAACAACTCATCTGTTGATGATGAAGAGAGTGTGAGCGGTTACTTTCTGCTCATGGAAAGACTTCTGAACAAAGCTTAAATAGAATGTTTATGCTAGTGAGGAATATAATTCAAATTCTTTGTACTATGTGTTTTGTGCATTTATAGCAATTATATCTACTTAGAGAAAAACAGTGAAATTAATGGATTTTCAAAGGCAATAGGCATACTGCCTCATTATTATGTGCTGAATTGTGACCTAAATGCTAATTACTTTTTGTAAAATAGTTTTACAAAATTATTTACCAAAATAAAGTTTTTCTTGACAAATGAAATACATGTTATGCTGATTGGTTGATAATGATAAATATTGATTATTTGTATCTTTAATACTACATTTTTAAACCCATGCCTTATTATCTGATTTTTAAAAATGGCAAATTTTAGAAACATGGACTTTCTTCATGGTATTCTATTTTGTTTTTTGTTTCATACAGAAAAATCTGCTTTGGTTTGATGTACTTTCATTAGGGATATTCAGCTCTGAAAAGATTAAGATTTTCCTCAGCCATTCTAGGTGTAATGCCCTGAAAACTCAAAAATTATATGGTTAACTTGTTGCATAAACACTAGTCCTTCAGATCTGGACTGCAAAAATCAGAACTTCTAAATCGCAGCAGAAAGTTAGAATTTTCTGTATAAAGGATGATAGTAACAGGGTGGGTTTCATTTAAATTAAGTCAATTTAAATCATGATTTAAATCATTAGTAAAAAGGCTTGATTTAAATCAACTCAATTTAAATCATAATTGTTAAATAACAACTGTCATCTCTGTCCCACAGCAGCTCCTCCTCTGACTGCTGTTTATTCACTGACAGAATATATTCTGTATATTGCAGAATATACAGCCTCATGCAACATAACTAAGCTCCATTTCATGCTGAATAAACTAAATTATTAATGTATTTTAAATAGAAAACTATCTTTAGATATATTTTTATTCCCAAATCATTTTATTAAAATTAATTTGATTATAAAAATCTGATTTTTTTAAATTTTTTTTAAAAAAGCACCAATTTTTATCCACCCTGGATAGTAGGTGAGTTGAATAGTAATAATAGCAGCAGCAGCAACAATAATGGTAGCTTGTTATGAAAGAAAAATGGAGGCACAGAAAAAATAAGTGAGATTGGAATGATCTGGTTACTGTTGGAGCTAGACTGTAAGCATGACAGGCACAAAATTGCAGAATTGGAAAAATCATACGCAAAAGTGGTTGCAGAGGATAATAGATGCAGTCTGGTTTTTGAGAAGCTCAGTGACCTAAGTTGCCAAGAATGGTGAATTTGTGTTTGTTGCTGACCTGATTTGAATAGCCACTGGGAGGATTGAGTTTTATACTGGAAAAGGATTAAGTTGTATGTTAGAGGAGGTGAAGGGTGAAGGGTGGGCTGGATGCCATCTCCAGTGGCCATAGACAGAAATGAAAGCAACTGGGGTACCCTGAAGCAGGCAGAAAAATACTGGGAAACAAATGGGCCAGGAATGAATGAATGAATGGTGTGGGTGAGAAAGTAATTAAATGGAACTGGAGGACAAGAGAAGGGAAGAAACCCAGAATATTAAAAAGATACTGAGAACAGTCACGAGCAGTGGGAGATATTTGAGATGGTTAGGTTGTGATGATTTACAATGCTGTGTTTTGCCTGTAACAATATTTTGTATGTCTGAAGTCTCTAGTTTTATACATTAATATAAAATAAATACCAGGACCCCTGGTGGCCCAGGAGTTAAAACACAGTATTACAGGCAAACTCTGGCCTTAGTCTGGAGTTCAGTCCTGACCAGCTCAAGGTTGACTTAGCCTTCCACCCTTTGAAAATCAATAAAATGAGGACTCATATTATCGGGGACAATATGCTGACATTTGTAAACCTCTCAGACAGTGCTGTAAAACATTATGGAGCAGTATATAAGTCTAAATGCTATTGCTGTTAATGATTTATGATTAAGATTGTTTTTATAATTATTATGCTAATGCTGAATTTATATCACTTCTATGAGTTGTGTAAAGACATAGCAATTGAAGCAGCAAAGAAATATCTGAAATAAATAAGGTATTAATTTCATTTGCTAGTCTGCCTTACGTAATTTCCTCCACTGTACTTTGTGAGTATAATTATTGTGAGGAATATTTATTCACTCATTTGGATGCAGAGAAAAGATTTTAAAAAGTTGTGCTAATAAAATGAAAGACATTTTGAAAGGTGTCAGTCACATTTTGCCTATAGAAAAGCAAATCTCATAATTTGTACTTTTGTTAGATTACTCTGTTTTGCTTATGTTTGTGTGTATTTTTTTCCCCTACAGATTGTTCTCTCTGTATTCGCAAGTCGCTGTCCTATAAACCTCAGTGCCCTATATGCTGTATGGTAGGTGTGCCTTTATCATGTTAAAAATGTTTTTAATTCTACATCTTACTGTCATCTGTGCTGGATTAGGCTTTTGAGCATACAGGAGGACGTATGTATAGGTAACTTTATAGAAGGTATGCTGTAAATAAGGCAAGGTAAGAGACAACCTGGTTCCTGGAAAAGAAAAGGTGTAAAAAAGGACCTCAAAATACTTCTCCTTGAGTCTGTTTTGTAAAAGAAGGTGCAAAGGAAAACCACAAGTCTTTCAAGATTCTGTTATGCATCACCATAATACCAATAAAGGAGAATATTTTTAGCTCAGGGTTGAAATGAAGGGCCTTGGTGCTCTTTGAGCCTAGTTGCTTTCTTGCAGATGTTTCATTACCCAAACTAGGTAATATCATCAGTGCTAGTTGGTAATGAAACATCTGCAAGAAAACAACTAGGCTCAACTCAGGGAGCACTAAGGGACCCCTCTTACCATGGTAAAGTATCATTGCTATACTACTTGTAGTGTTTCCTGACTGGCTTACTTCGTAGGGTTGATGTATAACTATGGCTCAGACATTACCAGATGTGATACCTTTTTTGTGAGTTGAACCATAGGTTTCAGTGGGGATTGCTGTAGCAGCATCTCTGAGTTTACTTCTGAACTTTGGTTGGCAGGATGATGGTTCTGGGGGGACTTCAGTCTCCCTTCTCTGGATCTGCGATCTGAGGTAGTATGGGAATTACATGGCCACCATTCACTGTTAGAAAGGCTTAGTTGAGATGTTTATGAATGCTGATGCTATGAGTTTGATATTATAAATTACTTTGGAAAGACGGCAGTTTTGACTAGAAAGTCCTTAAATAAATTTATTTTAATCCTTAGCAGCCTTTTTAGCTATACTAATGTTCTAATGTAATGTTTTTCAACCTCGGCCAAGATATGTAGACTTCAATGTCCAGAATTCTCCAGCCAGCATGTGGCTGGGGGATTCTGAGTGTTGAAGTTCATGTATCTTACACTGCCTGCGGTCCAAAAACATGGTTGTAATGTACTATTTCATATGTCTAGTATTGTGTGTATAGGTAGTTCTCGCATAATCACCCTAAGTAGACCCCATCATTAAGTAAACTGGTCAATAAACAGAAAATCACATGACTGTGACTGTACTGTCCAGCTGGGAAAGAGATAAGACTAGTCAGTTGTGTGTTTTTGACTTTCGTTTGCCTCCTAACCATTCCCTCATTCTTTGGAATGCTGTGCTTAAACCTTTCCTGCTGCTGATGGTTCTCAGTGTGTAGAAGGCCAAACAGCACAACTCTTTTGAAGCTTCTTTCCAGTTTTTCTTCTCTGTGAAGGAGAAAAGAAAGATAAAAAACCACGGCACCGGACAACTTTTTTTTGGCTGTACAGGTAGTCCTTGACCTACAACCATTCATTTAGTGACCGTTCATTGTTACAACGGCACTGAAAAAAGTGACATGATTGTTTTTTCATATTTGTGACCATTACAGCATCCCTGTGGTCATGTGATCAAAATTCAGGTGCTTGGCAATTGGCATCGATTTATGACAGTTGCATTCTCCTGGGGTCATGTGATCTCTATTGGAACTTTCCCAGCTGGCTTTCAACAAGCAATATCAATGGGAGAAGCCAGGTTCACTTAATGACTGCATGATTCACTTAACAACTGCAGTGATTCATTCAACAACTATGGTGAAAAATGGGGCAAAATGGTTGAAATATTATAAGGTAAATTAATCTAATTTAATCTAACAGCAATTTCCATTTCACTGAAAGTGAAGGAACTGTTTATTGATATGTGCACTGCGCTGATATGTAGTATTTATACTCTGTTCTCTAGTAGTCTTGAGGATTTACAGGTAATCCTTGACTTACAACCAGTCTTTAGCAACTATCTGAAGTTACAATCGACCTAGAAAATGGGATGTGCAACTCAGATTTGAAGTTCTGACATTCCTCCACCCCTTTGTACCCATGATTGCATTTGGGTGCTTGATAGTTAGTCTGAATTTATGACCATTTGCAGTGTTCCTTGGTCAAATGATTGCAATTTATGTCATTTTTGGCAGATCATCATTACTTATGATTGAAATTATGGGCTCAGTTATGGTTTGTAAGTCAGACACTACCTGTATGAAGTAAGCATAGGGATATTTTGAAACAATTACATGATAAGACAACAAATGCAACCAGTAAAATAATCTGCGGCATCAAACAATTACAAATCTCTCAGTGTCATTACCATTAGCTAGGAATCTAAACCAACAGTCCCCAACCTTTCTGGCTCCATAAACCAGCAGTGGTGGTGGGTGGGAGAGATGGGATGGTTTTGTAAATGCAACCTAATCCCACACATGCACAAATGAAGTTTTGTGAGCTAGCCTGCTGCTCATGTGGCCCAATTCCCAATGGGCTGCAAACCAGTAGCAGTCTGTGGACCAGAGGTTGGAAACCCCTGATCTAAACACTTGGAGTATGTAAGTGTATGAAGAATTGATGATTCAGATATCAGGAACACAAGTTTCCATGAGGAGTTTTGGAAATTAAAAACTATATTATAGATTTGTAATAGAAGCAAGTAACAATAATAAAACTGGGAAAATTCACCTGATACTTAGTGTACTTAATATTTTTGCAGCCATAGTTTACATATATTGAAGTTTTAGAGTTAAGTATAACCCATTACTTGGATTAATAGATCAATAGATCAATAATAGATCATTCCTTGAGGGAGAATAAAACTCAAAGGATTGTGTATCAGTTGGTTAAGTGACATACTTAAAAGCAGTTTCTTTGTGTGGATCTGCTAACCCTCACCAGGATTATTACGGTAAATAAATTATGTTTTGAAACAAGTTTACTGCTTTGCCTGGGTTTGGAAAAAAAGAATTGGATTGCTAATTGCATACTGATGAAGATCAGACTGACCTGATTTACTGCTTTCATTTTAGTGCTTTCAAATGTTAAAATGACATGGAAAATGGAAGTGCTTAGGTATGAATAAATGAATAATAATATAGTCTTAATCAATACAACTTGCACAATCTCTCCAGAAGGTCAAGTCAGTTTGAAAATGGGTCCAAAAAATAATTTTCATTCAGGAGTATCTAATGTTGACACAGTATTTGTTAGATTACAGGGTATGAATATGAATAGCTGTATAATTACCAGGAAATTGTTAATTATATAGGGAATTATATAGGGAAAGGTAATGCAAACTTGTTTAATATCTAGTATCAGTGTTTCAATATTAAGACTGAGAACATTCTGCCATTATTCAGTCTCTGCGTTTACTGTATTGGCATTTCATCATGCTTTGCCAAAACCAATCACAGATAATATTTAGGCATGAAATTTTTCACAAGGGTGGATATAGAAATTTATAAAACTTAATATCATTGATTTGGTTTATAATTCAAGTTTTAAAAATATAGTTCCCATCAAATTTGTGAGCTAACAATATTTTGGAAAACACAATCATATACATTTCTTTAAATTTAATTTCAGTGAGATGTTATCAGCGCTAACTTGGTGAGACATAGGATTGTTGAGCACCACTGCATATAGTGTTTACTTTGAAATTAGCATTATAGCATAAGCTGTTTGAAATTCAGGCTGCATATCGAATAAGCTAGAAGTACTATGATAATCCTCCAATGTGGCATTACTTTGATGTGTCTGTGGACATGCAGGCTCTGAGGAAGATGAAACCTATGCCAGAGATTCAACCATATTGGGTAGGTCTCATCAGAGGAGCCAGAAGAAGAGTGCCGCTCCCAAAAACAATATGGTGAGATGTAATTTACAGAAACTTATACTGAATTGCCTGAGTCAACAAGAGACATGCTAGGTGTTCTGGACATGTGTTGTAATGACGAGGCAGTCGAGTTGTTTGATCATGAACAACTGAATCATGATGATCTTTATTGGAGTCTAGTCTTGCATTTATACACATTTTTAGTTATCCTCTATCACTGGTTAACTTTGGTTACTGCTTAACTTTTGTTACTGTTTAACACAGTAATGCATACAATTAATTATCTCTAGTTAAAGTCTAACATATGTTTACTTCCTCTCTCTAATCCTCCTTAGTGACTTTGTTTACCTGAGTTGTATTTGCTTGGAAACATTCTTTATCTGAGGTTTGCCATCCGAGATTGGAACATTCCTGCAATTACAACTCTACAGACATGTGGTGAAAAATGAACAATAGGACTCAGGATTGTTTATTGAGCAATCAGGGCCAGCAGGTGCAGGACTATTGGAAGAAAAGTTGCTTTCAAATATTTTATTGAAATTGCTATTACAAGTTCTGTCCCAGCTTCTGTCCAACTAGCAGATTGAAAATGTGAAAATACAAGTAGATTAATAGGTATCACTTCAATCGAAAGGTAACAGTGCTCCATGCACTCTTGGTGTGTAGCCATGCTGGCCACATGACCAGATAGAGGTCTTCAGACAACGCTGGCTTCCTCAGCCAAGAAATGGAGATGAGCACCATGCCCTAGTGTCGGAGACGACCAACAGGGAAACCTGTTTACCTTTACCTTTATTACAAATCAAATCCAAAGAGAAGATATTTTTTTAAAATGCACCAATTTAGGAAAGGACATCATCCAGAATCAAAAATAACAGAACAAAGTCTAGCAGGTCAAAGCCGATTTATAATATAAAATAAAATATTTGCAGAAGTAGAACTGGAAAAATTGTAAAGTATACCCAGAGCAAAGAAATCAAAGCCTTGCCAGAAGTAGCTCAGACTGTGTAGAGGCAACTGGGAGGAGAGTCAGCAGCAGAGGAAGCCAGCATAGCTATTGAATCATCTTCTTTTCCCAACCAGACATCTTTTCCTCTATCTTCTCAGAAAGAACAAAGCCCTCTAACTAAGAAAATAAGAAGGATTGAAACGAAGAATAACTGAGCATCTAGAACAGCACAAAAACAACAGAGTGCATTAAAATGTGTTGCACAGAAACAGCTGGCACAGTATTAAAATATACCAACACTGTAATATCAAATATAAGCACCAGCTTACTGTAAGAAACAAGCCAACTGCACAGCAGTTATAACTGAAGATCTTGGATGCAAAATCAACAAACAAACAAAAAAATAGGCAACAGTACACCGCATCTCAAAAATGGAAGATTAGATTGGAGAATAAGATCAACATACTGGGGACTTCCGGTTTGAGCTTCTTCAGCGACAGACTGAAACCTCGTCTCTGCGAGGCTTCGATCCGTGCTCACTGCTGGAGCGCCCCAAGCCGTCTAGTTTTGGGGCTAAGCTATCCCGTAGAAGTGGTGAAGAGGGGGGAGACTGCCTGAAGGGTTGAGGAGAGCCGCATCTCTCCTCTCCAGCTGGCCATTACTCCCTTTCCCGAAGGCGGTTGCAGCGGTGGTCAGAAATGGCCACCACAAAGAAGAGCTCGACTGGAAAAGAATGCGCAGGAGGAAGATAAGAAGAGAAAGTTTTGGTTGACCGGGTCAAACAGGAAAAGAAACAAATAAGGTACCCTGGAATTGAAACTGTTAAAAAACAATAACATTGTTCCCTAAGAAGATTTTTAAGCTGTGAAGGAGAGAGAAAAGGGAAAAGATTTGGTTTTCTCCTTTTCCTATAGTTACAGCTAAGACTTAAGCAAGAAATTGGAAAAAAATCCACTTTGACATTAATAGGCATTTAATGCTGAAAATAAAAAGTCAAAGGGATAATAAAGATTTCTGGATAATCAAAAGCTTTTGAAAACAGGAAAGGAAAGAGGAAGAATAAAAGGGCAGGATCTGGAAGGGAGGAGACTGCCTGGAATTAAAAAAGAACTTACAGCAAAATCTTAGCAAGACTTCCAAAAGATATATTCTAACTGAAGTATAGCAACAAAAACCCCAGGAAGAGAAAGTCGAAAAAGAAATAAGAAGATATAACTCGGGACTATCTGGATTACTTGATGATTTCTGGATTCTTGGTTATTGTTTTGAATGACTAAAATCAATCGGGTGGTTGTTTAAAACTTTTTAAAATGGCTCCACTTTTAGAAGAACTGAAAATGGAAACTTAAAAAGTACAAAGAAGATGCACAAGAAGGGAGAGGTTCTTTTGGCTTCGTATTTCAGTTTTTAGAAATGGAGATTTAGAATTATGAGAAACAACAAGAAATGCCTGCAGAACAAGAAGATTGCAACAAAGAAGAAGCCATCTTTAACGAACAAGTAATCTTAGATGGGGGGAAAAAGGAAAGGGGAAAAAGAATGGAAAGTTTGAGATTGGGAAAAACACCCCCCCCCCCAAAAAAAATAGAGTGAAAAATAAGTATAAAATCAGAAAGCAACAGAAGAAGGAAATGCAGAAGAGAGAATTAGAACTAGAGAGACAAGGGGATAAAAAGAGGAGGGAGAAGATGAGAGGGAAGAAAGAAAGGAAAAGAAGTTATAAAGGACAGAAGCAAAATATAGAGAAACAGGGCCTATTTAGAGATAATGGGTGAAAACTTAATGGAAAAAGGGATTCTGCTAAGGTACATAAGATAGTATGGTTATATTAGAATCAGAAATAATTTTAGAAAATATGAAAAAATGTATGATTAAAATATATGATAAAATAGCTATTGTAATTCAGTGGAATGCTTGTCAATAAATAAATGTAACAAAAGGTATATTTAATGATTTATAAAACATATGTGAAGAGAAATAAGGGAAAAATTAATTATGGAGATTATATGTGTTTTTAAGGAAGTATGATATTTAATTGAAAAGAAGTGTTAAAGATGTTATGGTTTTAATGATTATTAATTATAGAACTGAACTGGAATGGAGTGAGGGTTTATAATTACATGTATTTACAATCTTTCTTTTTTGTTTGAAGAATATAGTGTGTATTATAAGAATGTGCCAAGCAGAATTCGATTGGAAGTTATGTATTATGTATTATATTGAAGGTCATAAACTTAAGGTATATATTGAAGTTTAAATAAGAGTTGAATGGATGTAATTAAAAGATATAAAGGGGTCATACTCCAATTAGTAACTACAGGAGAAAATTTGTTTAATGAGAAAAGATAATATGAAATTGAAACAGAACAGACAAAAGTATAAATATAATGATTTGAATTGAGATGAGATAATCAAAATAAAATTGAGAAAATTAAAAGAGTAAAAACTATATAGAAAATGTAAAATAGTATAAGATATGGAATAGAACACAAAAAGGAGCATGAAATTGAGTTTTGTGTCTGTATAAAGAAGTTCAACCCGGGACCATGCTATTTTCAAAACAGATGTTTTATTTGTATTTTGTGTCTGAAAACCCAAATAAAACTTTATTAAAAAAAAAGATCAACATACTAACTTCAGATGGAAGCATGCTAGAACAGATGAAAGAAAAGAAGCTGAAGAGCAAGAAGAACAAAATTACAAAATGCAAAGACATGCAAATAGAATTATTTTCGCAAGAAAAAGCAAAGATAGTACCAATAGTAACTGGTGCAATCTCAGAATATGTGGAACACCATTTCAATACCAATCACCCTGAAAAAATCACCACCAGTCAATTGCAAAATAGAGCTTTATTCGGAAAAAGCTTATATATTATTAAACAATAGCATCTGTCTATGCCAGATCTTTGGGAATGACTTGATAGGTGAATAAAAATGTGCAAATGAATCTGAACATCTGGCTGACTCTGTGACCAGCTGTAATAATAAAGAAATTGTTCAGCAGAGCCTGCTGTTAACTTATTTGTATTTATAGAGTGATATAGGGTTACATTAATGAAACTTGGGTTCTCTGACCTGCATGCAATATTTGAAATTTGATTTGAGGCCTATTCTATTTTATAGATGTTAGAAAATGGTACTGATTTGATCAGCTTCAGAGGAATTATAGGGGACCTTTTCTTCCAAATCTTCCATGGGAGTATGAAGTTTGGGAATCATTTTCCAAATTCCCATCTGTTTATGTGGCTTCCTGTCTAAATTTCAAATAATTAGCTTTAGCTCTGAATCACCTTTTCCTCAATCTGTGTATCTAGACTGTCTCTCTAGATATGTGGACTTCAGTTTCCAGATTTCTCCAAATAGCACGACTATTCCTGGAATTTGGGAATCCAGACATATAGAGGCTTCCCAGGTTAAGGAAAGTAGGTATTTTATTCATTTTTGCAGCCGGTAAATATTTAAGGTTTCTCTGCAATGATTGTTACAATGTTTTGTAAACTACATTTGTTAATAAACATTTATGTTCTCTAGAATACAGTTTCATGTTGAGGAACCATGTACCGCATATGAGATAATGATTCAGAGGAAAAGAATAGATCTATTATATGCATAGAATGAAAACTATATTCCTAAAAAGACTAAATGAAAAGAAACTCTGTTACATTCTGTTACATTCAACTATGTTGGATTAATTACTGCTTTTAAATTGGTAGGTTTTAATGCAGTACTTAAAACAGTAGTCTGTATGAAAGATGTTATGAAGGGTTTTAATAAGCCCTGGAAAGTTATGTTTTCCTTTCAAGCTCTATGTCTAAATGGATGAATTTGGCTGTACACTCTTCTGGGAAGTTGGAAGTCTCTATATTCTTCTCCTAATCTCTATTGACTTCTCCTGCTTGTTTCGAAAATTGCTTTCCGTATGTATCTGGAGCAAGCAACTTTGTTTCTGTCTTTATATTTTCAACATCATATATTGTGATGTTTTTCTAAAAAACAATAGAAGTTTGGCTCCATATAAGGCAACTAAAAGCTCAAGGAAGATGATTATCACTTACATAAAAGAATAAGTGTATGCAAAAAAACTCAATTATAAATTAAACTCTAGACGTTTTTCATTTTTTTCCAGTTTAAGCATTTTTGGAAAATATATGTAGATCTCATGTTTATGTCTTCAAATGTGGAAATTTATATACAGACAATTTAAGAGACCAGTAACAGCCAAGTGTACAAGTACCACCTTGAACATTTCTGTTGTTCTGTTGTTTTACAGGTAGCCACAGGACCTGACTTGAAAAATAACCGGATATTAGATGAGCTGGTACACAACTTTGTTTCTGCAAGGTACCAAATCATTTTGCAAATTTTAGAGTGAGACTCAGATGTGATTCAACCCAAAATCATGGACTAATACTCAGCTATATATTTATCTACTGGTAAATGTTTATGCAGTATCAGATTATATGTGAGAAATAATACATGCAGGTAATATGTGCAGCATTTTATCCATATGCAGATGTAACTTTGGACACGCAAAACACTGTCATGCAAAGCATATCAAATTGACTGGTTGCAATTCAGTGCTGATATAGATAGGAAACTATTTCTAGGATATAGGGAAGGAAAAAGTAGAATTGGAAAGTAGACTAAAATTGTAGTATGATATAGTAATACATGAAATTTTTATTAATGTACTCTGTCCTAGGTTTAGTTTTCTGCACTGAAATATTACAATTTGTAATATTAGAATAGGTGAATGAATAATTTGGCCTAGGAGATTCCATAGAGGAAAGATGTGAGATTAATTTAATTTGTAATAATGCCATTGAAGGTTAAAAATTATGATATTGTTCTTTAGCTTTCAAGATTTCAAGACTTCCTTTTCCTGAGAAAGGCTGCAGGATTTATATATCTGGCAATATTGTGATAACTATTTGCTAGTGGTATTTTGGTGAAGTATTTGTTTATATTAAAACATTGTGGCATCATTGTTAACTAGGTTAAGAAGAATTAATAGAATTATATCTAACAATATCCTGCTTTATTTAATGAAGTCTGTCCAATCTTGCATTCTGTGAATGGAAATTGAAGAGTTGGTTTGTGCTGATTTTCCATCATCTTCCTCACATTCCTTTCCACTCATCCAGTTCAGATCTATATGGTTGGAATATAGTGGCATTTGACATGATGTGGGTATAGTTTTGCAAATAATTCCTTCCTACACTTCTTTTATTCATGGAAGCTATCCCCCCTACAGAGAGTCACCTTATGAAGTGAATATAATTGCCTAACAGGAGATGAGAATAATCTTTATAACAAACAAAATGTCACTTTTAAATGTTTCTTTTCTTTTGACTTAGGTTCTACCTTTCTGAACATAAATTATGCAGGATGACTGACAATCTTAGAAACATATAAACTTCTTGGTACCAAATTTGGACTTTGACAACAATGAAACCATACTTCTTCTCATATTCTCCTTGGGAATTTCTCTCACCTGTAATTATGGAGACTGAATTTTGGCATAACAAGTTGCAATGTTTTTTTCTCAAAAAATGTGTTTAGTGGAAGCAGAATAGAGAAAACATAGTGAACCATGAAATTAGGAATTTCCCATGATTTGTTTTGCCCCTTTGTAGTTAGTTTTAAAGAAAGTTGGCCTATCCTAAACAACATTAATTTCAGAAAAGTGTGGCTGTTTTATGAAGAAACATTAGCTTCGTTTATTTTGTTTTTGTTTACATTTACTATTTTACTGCTGGAAAAAGGTATCAAAGAACAAAAAAAATTCTAGCTCTTTTTCTGGTTTTGGAATGGCATTAATAATTATAATTTATTTTAATTATAATTTTGTATTCTACATTATTGTAACAGTTTATCACTTTTAATGTGATAAATCACCCACATTCGCCTTGTGGCGAGATGGAACAGCAAATAAATTAAATAAAATAAATAAATACATATGTAAAGGTAAAAGTTCCCCTTGCACAAATAGTGCTAGTCATTTCCAGCTCTAGGAGGTGGTGCTCATCTCCATTACAAAGCCAAAGAGCCAACGCTGTCCGAAGACGTCTCTATGGTCATGTGGCCGGCATGACTAAATGCCGAAGACACACGGAATGCTGTTACCTTCTCACCAAAGGTGGTCCCTATTTTTCTACTTGCATTTTTACATGTTTTCCAACTGCTAGGTTGGCAGAAGCTGGGACATGTAACAGGAGTTCATTCAGTTATGTGGTGCTAGGGATTCAAACCATCGAACTGCCAACTTTTCTGATCAACAAGCTCAGCGTCCTAGCCACTGAGCCACCACGTCCCGCTAAATACATGCTAAATATATACTTAGGGAAATCTGCCTATGTAAAACATAGTTGTTATCATAGACAGGACTACTATTTCTTAAGGTCTTTCAATGGTACAGTTATTTATTTACCAAGAATATTGGAAACAGCAAAATATTCTGTATGTGCTGATATGGAATTTAAGAGCTGGTTCTAACTTTTTATCAATGTTGTTTTAAAATACAGCAAAAGAAAATGAAAGTGAAAAAAAGAATAAAGAAGCAAAACTAAAAAGTTGGGTTTGTTATAGTCATTCTCTGCAGCAGCTCCACTTTATAGAATCCTTCTCAGAAATGCTGTATGTGTGGCATATTACTACAATTGGAATTGAGTTAAAACTTCTTTTTTTAATTTCAATATGATTTCCATTCCAACTAAGTGATGTGGAGTTCCTGTCTTGGGTTTTCATCTTGGATTTCTTTTGTGGTTAAATTTGGTCCTTTGAAACTGTCTTTGATTTAATTACTTGTTATGTTTTACATATTTTTTTCTTTGTTTGAGTTTGATGACATTTGGAATCCTTTGGAATTGGGCTGGATTATAAGTATTGTAAAATATAAATATATAAATATTTAAAAAGAAAAAAGACCACAATCAAATACACAGAAAATAGCTCATATTTTACTGCAGATTAAATCTTGAATGGTTTAGAATCTTGGTGCAATCCCTGGAAATTTTTATCTACATGTTTTTATGTATTTATTTTTATTCATTTGTTCAATTTCTATGGGGTGGCATGGTGGCTCAGTGGTTAAGACCCTGGGCTTATTGGTTTGAAAGCCGGCAGCCCAGGGTGTCTTCAGCCCAGCTGCCAGGCTAGCAGTTCAAAAGCATGTAAATGCCAGTAGATAAATAGATACCACTTTGGTGGGAAGGTAACAGTGCTCCATGACGTGATGCCACATGACCAGGGAAATGTTTTTGAACAGCGCTGGCTCAATGGACTTGAATCAGAGGTGAGCACTGCAGGCAACGACTAGCAGAGTAAAATCTGCAGTGATTCCTTTCCCTTTATTCAATTTCTATAGCCACTCATTTCATTCAATGACTTTGGGTTGCTTACAATTAAAAAATATATTGGCTAAACATTTTCTTATCTGATCTTTTTTTTTTAAAGTCCTTTGCCTGGGCCTTCAAGGGCATGTATAAATTAAAGTCATCTTAAGAACATTGTCTCTTTTCTGTGCTACCAAAGCTGTCATGGACAATGTGCTCTGTTGTCTCTTGACCAGAAGAGGGTGTTCTGACTCTGTAATTCATTTGTCAATCAGATGAATTGGGAGGCATCCTCAAATAATCATTGCCTTGCTTTTTATGTCTGCCATTCATGGTTTATCAGTTTTCTACTTTACTTTGGATGTTTTTTGATTAGTTCAAGAGAAACCTATGTTGCAACTTGTACTAGAGAATTTTTTTCTTCCTGGATTTTCCTTATTCCCTTGCTTACATTTCCTTGCCCCCTTTTCGATTGGAATATGAAAAGAATATCAGATTCCTTTAATATTAACATAAAGGCTGCAGTTGAAATGTATAAATTAGAGAATCCTATAAATAATATCTCATGACTATATGAGCATTAACAGAGTTTGGGAACAGAATATGAAAACTAAGATATGTGGATGGGTTGGAGGTAAAATGTGAGTTCATGGAAAAGATAATAAAAATATGGGTGGAAAGATTAGTTAGGCACTGAGGAATATGTGGAGACAATCTGAACAAATGAAAAATACGGACTGCACTTGAATCGGACTGGAGACCGAAACAGCTTTTCCTTTGGGCAGAAATATGTTAAATGAGTGGGGTAAAAATGTTTTCCATTGCTCAAGATGGAATGCGATGAGACGCACTAAAATAAACCATGAATAAACAGTAAACTATGATACCCCTTCAAGGAAGTCAAAGGGTTTTAAGAGAAAATGTAGATTCTAAAAAAAAATATCTGGAAAGAGTACTGCATTTATATATATATGTTTTAATTTTGGAAGCATCTTAGACAAAAACGGGACAGTGCTTCTTGAAGAAATTTCTGTTTGTTTATCTGAATATCTACCACATGATGGAAACATAGAGGAATATAAAAAATGGTAGTATATGGTCATCTTTATATGACCATATGATGGAGAGGGAAGGGAACTTTGGGGTAATAATATCATAAATCAAAAAGAAATTTAAATAACCAGAAATCAGATTGCTTTTGGAGAATTACTGAAAGATGATTACCAAGATAAAATATACCAACTTCCAAAATAAATGAGTCATTAAGCCTTAACTATTCACAAAGTAGGAAAATGCCCTCCACATTAAGTATTAAACTTATAGATATCAAAAATGTGCATCTTAAAGAATTGGTTATGGGCTTATGCAGAATATAAAATACACATGCTGCTGGACCAATTGAAAATGGTGACATGGGACTGTTGGCAATTTTTATTTACATATAAATTGTTAGCATAATTGTATCTTAATTCAGAGAAAAGTGGTAAAAGAAAAGTTTAAGTAAGAAAACAAATGTATGTTTTCCAGAAGAAGTGGTTAAAAGTCATTTAGCTCTACTGTCAGCCTTGGAAGCCATTATTTCTTTTGGAGCTTTGAGGGTGCCACAATTCATGCCTAGGAAATTGGGAGGGGGGATTGCAAGGAGTAATGGAAGATTAGCCACAACAACATTCCTCTCTCTGAGTCAAGGACATTTACTCTGTACCTGGAGAGGAGTGGTTGGGGATAGGCTCCAGTAGGGACGAAAACATACTTGGACCACATGATGGACGCAGGAGTTGGATTTTGGCTTTCTTTTGGGTGGGGGGAAAACCCAGAACTTTCAGATTCGGGTTTCCCCAGATGTGCCAATATGACATCTCTAATAAAATGGAACTTTGAGGAATTGCTAGCCTTGGAGTCTTCTTTGAAGGAGATTGTTACTTGGAACGCTGACAACTACAACGTTAAAAGTTCATCTAGCTTTAACATTGCAGATCAGAAAGATAAACCTGAATAAACTAAATG